TTTCTATTCCAATTATCAATATCTGAATCATATATTACATTGTTTTTCTTTTTTATTTGCCCGTTTTAAGGTTTTTTCTCTTTTTTTAATTTTCTATTTCAATATTCTATCTGATATATAAAGTACATTATCTGTATTAATAAAATTAATGTATATATTGCTATAAAATAATAAATTTCATTCTTGTACATATTATTCTTACTCTTTTAATGTATTTTACAACTATTTCTTTTTTATTAAGCAATAAAATGAAATGAATATAACCATATATATTTATTTATTATTCATTATTTTTAATATAGATTGTATCTTTATTTGTTGTTGTTTATTAAACATTATTTACTATTCAATTATACTTTCATTTATTCTATTTCATGTCTTTAAATTAATTCATTTTGTTTTCAAGCAGTGTTAATTGATGAAAAATTGTTTATCAATAAAATAAAACAATGATAAGATTTGCTGAAAATGAATCATTTCATTATCATTCCAAATAACCAAATAATTATAATTATTTTTTAGAATTAGTATCTACTTATTTCGTTATTTTCCTTCTCGTACTGCAGAACTATATTTTCAATGTTAATATTCATACTTTTTCATATATAATATTATTGTTACCATTGTTGTTGTATATTTATTACTAATGTTATTCTTGATTCTTTATGTCTTTCATTATTATTTTGTCTTTGTTGTTTAGTGCTTCTTTTGAATTATCCTTTCTTCATTTATCACAACTACTTCATGATTTTCTTTTGATAGATTTATTATCTCTTCTCCATCACTTCTACTTTCTCATTCTTTATTTTATATTTCATATTCATTTATCATTATAATTCTTCATTTTCCTTTCTAATTCTCCTTTTAATCATTTTATCATTTGTAATTCATATATCATTTTTATTATGAATGTTATTTCCATTGATATACATCACACTGTACTTTCTTATGTTTGTATTTGTTGATTGATTTTCTTAACCAAAATCAAGGATGTTATTCAATATCAAAAACAATAAAATTTGTTGCATTTCTTGCATTGGAAAAGTATCTTATCAAAAATAAACTATTTAATAATAAAAATGAAAAAAAGACACAATTCATTTCATAAAAAGAAAACAGACATTACTTTTTTGAAGTATTTCTACGTAAAATTTCGTCTTGAATATTTCTAAGGAATAAACCATTTCTTCTTTCTTCTAAAGACTTTTCTAACTTCTTTTGTTGTTCACAATAATCAACAGCAATTTCAAACCAATCATCACGAGTTTTTTCATCAATAAATTTTAATTGCATTGACTTTAATTCTTTTTCATTAAACTCAATTTGAACACATGTTTCTTGTGCTTTTTCAATATTAACTTTACATAACTTGAAATGTTTATAATAATAAAACCCTTCATATTTCTGTTCTTTAGCTAATCCAACACTTGAAAATAATTTAAGTCCAACATTCCATATCGACGCAGCAACATCAGCAGTTAAGAGTAAAACAATGTCATTAAAAAGAACAACTGTCACTTGACTTTCAACAATCTCTGGGAAATCAACTTCTTTTTGAACAAGATTATGATCACCATCAATATCACAATAATCTTCTGCTTCATTTGACGCATCACTTATCATTACAGTATGTGTTTTAATTATAGTTTCATATAATGTAACATCATTCCGACTCATAAATATTCTTCCTGGTTCACAAATATTTAATCCTTCAGGAACTCCTTTTGTAATATTAGTTAAATATAATGTCATTTCAGTTGACTCTTGCATTCTAGACATTTCATTAACATAAGTAGCAACTTTATTAACTTCTTCTTGTGCTTTTTTTAAATCATAGTAATCAGGATGTTCCCAATTATAATGACGTAA